GCCATTCAGGGCGATGGTTTCAAGGCTTTAGTAAACGCTACTGAGGCTTTAAAAATAGGCAACAGGCCATGGTGGCTGACATGAAGCAAGTTTTGTTGACGAGTTAAAGATGCCGGCAGCTGGAGGAAGGAGCAGCAAGCGCCTTCGTTGCTACTTGGGTGGAAGAAGGCCCTTGCTATGCTTTCTGCATGACTGCCCCCATGAAGGTAGCAGGGCTGGTGGTGGCAGCTGGGAGAGGAAGACACAAGGAACCTTAACCAGAGTAGTGGGGCAGCCCAGGTGATGTCTTGGTCCGCTTGTGACACGAGTGAAGCTAAAGCTTTAATGAAACTGCCACTGCTTCCTAATGCTTTGGAGAGAGCTGTTCAGGTAAACCTGCTTCGTTTGGGAAGCCTGAAGGGCTCAAGTTGAATAATAAAGACTTCCTGCCCCAGAGCCCCAGAGCGAGGGAGCAGTGCAAGTACTTTCTCCAGAGGATATGTGGCTAGGCAGGAAAAGCCTGTAAGATCAGCCCTGCTTGCGCAAACGACTCCGTGGCTGTGCATTGAGTGGGGCTTTTATTTTCTCTTTTTCTTTTCTCCTTACAGTGGCAGTTTTCAGCGGGCACCAGAATTCAACCTTTTACATCAAATCCAGCACCAGCCCAGACGACCAGTTCCTGGTCAGTGGCTCAAGTGACTGCAATGCATATATCTGGAAGGTGAGGCGATTGGGAGAGACCCAAGCGTGCAAGCTGGAGTGGCTCCACTCTTTCATTTCATTTGCTTTTCATGTTCACATAGGACACTCCCTGCCTCCCACTCCTACATGGGGTTAGCCCCTGGCATGTTGTGCTCAGAGTGTGTTGCTGTCAAGGCTAGATGTAACTGTTTAATGTAAAACAGAGCTAACCTCCTGCCATCAATTCGTCTCTCATCACTGCTGCTTATTGCAAGTTGCTGATCTTAATCTGGTTTTAATGGGCATTAAAATCCTCTTTCAATCCTGGTGATTCAGCCAGCTGTGACAAGTAGACAGACAGTTCTCAGTTCATATTTAGCAATGGAGCACATTAACAGAAACCTAACAATTTAATTGTTTTAAAGGGCAC